CGTATCTCATATTTCCTTAATGTCTTGTACCTTTGAAGGTGTTAAACATGGTGTCACGTGGATGGGAATATGCATGGAAATGATATGCAGATGAGGTTATGCATAGTAAAACTAGGCGTTATAAGCTTCATATATGGTGATTTCGGGGAGGAGTCGGGGTGGAGATGCACGTACGCACAATCTTCCCCTGACTGGGATTTATAAAGGGATTTTTGCGCAGGTTCTGGCATACGCATGGTTTTATAAATCTGAAAACTTTTGTGCATACGCAAAATCTAGCTTTTGTGCCTACGTACACTTTTAGGATGAAATCTATTGAGAGTTTTCTAAATGAGACCCCTGGTTGTTTCAAACTTCTTCCATTAAGAATAATGCAAGCTACATGCTTCTGTGAACCTTCAAACTAGCAGTTTTTTTCTAACCTTTTCTGAGGGGTATGGATACTTTCACAAGGCACTGTAGCAGCAAGCAGCAATTACCGGGTATCATGCGCTTTACGACCTTTATCGATTCTATGGGTTTAGGCCGACCCTATGGAAGAATATTCCAGACTATTTTCAAAAGAACTTGCAAATTGTATTTTTTAATTGCATTTTCCATATGTGCGAACAAACAGAAAACCCAGGCCTCCTTATATTCTTTGGTACCTTACACAATAAATAAGTCTGTCGTTTTCACCCCAAATGCAGCGACTATACCCTGCTACAAGCGAAAGCTCAACAGTACGCACAATAGGTCGATATTCACTATTAACCAAACGCTTTTCACCTGTCTTGAGATCTCTGTGTTTAGCCTCCGATTGATGCACATGAGCAAACAGACAGTGCAATTCTATACCTATTACTGTATATTTTATTCCTGTCTTTTAATTCATAATGGAGAGTGTTGCGCCTGCCTCAATATCTTTTAGTATTTGCACTTCAACTGTTGCACATAAGCACATAAACAGACAGTGCAAATCTACACTTATTTACCTATTTGCCACCTTATCTTATATTTTATTCCTGACTTATAACGCCTAAGCATCGCACCTGCCGATCTCTCACTGTTTACACTCCGATTGATGCACGCGACACAAAATGCTTCTACTCTTATGTCACTTCACCAGTCAGACCTACTGTAGAGGTGCAGCTGTCATAGAACATGCCACAGCCAAGATGAGTTAACTTAATATTAAAAATCACGTGATTCAATTACAGTGTCCAGTGGCTGTGAACAGTGAGAGAACTTAAGGCAGGTGCAGTGTGCACTTCATAACGGATTAAAACAGTTGAATAAAATATAAGGTAAGGTGTAAAAAGTATAGATTTGCACTGTCTCTTTGTTGATGTGTGAGTGATGTTGAGGCAGGTGAAAAGAGTCCTCTGCTGCCATCGACTGGTTATAATGGTAATATTATGTCACTTTCATTTTAAAAGTGCCTGTTTTCCACCAGAAATCTCCACTAAAGGCACATTTTCCATGTTAACCCTATTAAGCATGCCTACACACAGGCACACATACACTCACCGGCCACTTTATTAGGTACACCTGTTCAATTGCTTGGTAACACAAATTGCTAATCAGCCAATCACATGGCAGCAACTCAATGCATTTAGGCATCTAGATGCTTTTTTGTTGTACATATAGATATTTTAACCCTCTGGGATCTGATGGGTTTTGGGGCCCTGGAGAAGTTTTGACATTCCCTGACATTTGAATTTTTTTTCAATATCTTAAACATATAAATCGCTAAAGTCTGATTACACTGTAATCAGCACAAACTGTGCTACAATAATATGTGAGCAGCATGAATGTACATGATTGTGTTTTTGAAAAAACAGCGTTTATGCGTGGTAAGTAAAAAAACAAACTTTCAAGTCACTGAAATAAGATCATAAAACACATACACAGCATTTAAGACTTTTGAGAACTGGATGTGGTAGTCTACAGTTTTTGCTCCAAAATGATGTGAAAATCATGATGTGTTCACTCATTCACAGAAAAAAATATATTGATTTAACTTTTGTAAGACATGATTTGTGTTAGAAAGGACGTATGTGAGGGAGTGACAATGGCCATGAATATTTAGTGAATCACACCTGAGAGACAAAGGGGCCCTCCCCTAATGGGCCATAAGTGAGTAATGTGTCAGTGAAGCAGGTAACAAAGAATGTGAGGAGAGTAAATGGGTGTTTTGATTATTTATATTTTATTTACAACACAGTATAATCAAAATATACACAGAGAAGGGCAAGGACACATGATTGAACATACTGATCTAAACACTGAGACTTGAACAGTAACACACCTTTGTGCCAAACATTCTTAGACTCTAACGGGCCAGTTGCATAAACATAGATACTATGTTAAGACTGTCTTAAGAACTAGTTTGACCAACTAGCAGTTGGCCAAGAGATAATAAGTCTCACTTTTCTGATTAAAATTGGGCCAATCTACATTTTTGTAACTGACCTTAAACAGTTATGTCCAGTCTACATGAAAACAAATTAGATGGCTAAATTTTTAAGACTAGTCTAAGCAGTTTATGCAGCCGGCCCCATATGTTGTAAACACTCTTACTACTTTTATATATATATATCTATCTATCTTGTGGTTTTATATTTTATAGAACATTAAAAAAAAAAAAAACATCCTGGCGTTGTAAGATATTTAGATGCAATGAAATGACACATTGTTGACAAATCAAATCAATTATGACAAATCAAATGTTTCACTTGATTTCATACATGTAGTCATGAATTATAGTTTGGGAAAAGTCTAACAAGTAAAATGTGTACAAGTTATGTCACAATAATGCAATAACTAAGTAATCTTACTCATCAGAATGATCTCCTCCTCTGGATCAAGCCGCGCGTCACATCATGTTCTTCTTCTGAGGTAAATCCTGGGTTATTCCTCTTAGCGCATCTTCTTCCAAAAACAAAAAATAGCCGAGATGAACTTGAATCTTTGTTTATGCAGGTGATGTGGACGTTTACATGTCCATGCGTCTCACGTGGTCGATTGTCATATCAAAAGCGCGATCGGCTCGTAGGCGTGATCACATTGGAGATAATGAATTTAGACGGGAAAAACTGGAGCGAATATTTGTTTTCGACGTGACTTACTTCACTTAAAAGTAGACATTTCAAGCTTTCTATGCATATATTTCTCATGTCTGTGAGGCAAGTATTCACTGAGATTCAGGTTGTTCTAATTTACGTGTCTATGAAAAAAGGTGACAGAGACTGAGACGGCAGAGAGCGCACCCTGTTTGTTTTCTTTATTTTGCAGAAGCACGTTGTTATGTTGTTATTATAAATATACACAAAAGAAGACCCTTTGCAGTTTCAAATGATACCTTACTCTTATCTGTACGATCAAAAATGATGGAGCACTTTTAGTTATTTTCATGATCATCAAGAAAAAACTAGACAGACGGGCTTCGACCCCCGAGGGTTAAATAATAAGCAACAAAATGCTTACCCCAAATCTTCTCTATATAACACCACTTTCAGGTTTCACAAACGTTGTTGTAGATAGATATTTGAAATAAATGATAGTTTAAAAAAGGCTTACTATAGTCACCTGTTTATAGCACCATTTTCAGGTTGTGTTCAGGTGTTAATGTGATATAATTGCAAAAACTGATACATCAGTACAAATTAAGATTTGTAAATTTATTATGATTTTATAATGTCTAAATATAAATCCAGACAATGCCTATTAGTGTCTATTAATAAAAACAATGCCTATTAGTGCATACGATGAGTGGACCTCTGCTGCCATCTAGTGGTTATAATGGCAATTTTTAGGGAATTGACCATAGGAATTTAGTAATTTTTCACCTTTTTAACTGTTATAAAAGTAACTATTGCCCAACATCCATAAAATTGTGTGTGCCTGTTTAGAGTCATGTCACACATGCTTACATAATTTGAAGAAGATATGAGCATTTGTTGAGGTGTAACAGGTGTGAGGTGTAGCCTCATTTTTAAACCTGTGTTACCTGTGGTGAGGTGTAACCACATTTTTAAATGACCCTATTATAGCCATCCAAACACTAAAATTCAATTTAATTTTTTTGACTTAGGAGTCCAGACTAGGCCTGTAACGATAACTTTTTGTTGTGCGATATATTGCCCCAGAAATAATTGCGATAAGCAAGCACCTCATGTCTACACCACGTTATGTACAAGAAGCTGCAAAAGACACAGGCGCAAATGGAATGCACAAAACATAGTGACATTATTTTTTAAGTAAATATAATGGGCGATATATTGCGTCACCAAAAATTATTGCGGTCATGTACATATATTGCGCGATAAGTCGATATATTGATATATTGATTATTGCGACAGGCCTAGTCCAGACTACACAGTACATTTACTACACTGGTTTTGTTGTGATTGATCAAAAATCGAGGACTAGTTCGCAAAAGTATTCTTTTTAACCCTCTATAATAAATATAGCTATAAGCTGCAATCATCAGGATGGTCCATGTGGATGATACAATTTAAATGTGATACAATTGAATGCAACTGCAATACAACTGTCTAATAATGTGATTTTTACAACAACATCTTCACTAACAGTTTGATGAAACAGGTCACAGCAACACACTGTTGTTGAAAATCCAGGTACAAGACGTTGCAAAGACCTTTTACTGTTCAATTTGGTCACTAAAAAGGGGGTGGAACTCTCAACTGTGAACTCTTAAAGTGCACCAGACTTAACTCCAAAAATTTCTTCCCAAAAGGTCACCCCCCACTGTCTCAAAATCCTGTGGAAAACTCTGTAGACTATTTGAAGAGCAGATCACCTTGTAATCTATTTAAGTTTTATGATGTTACAGTAGTTACGATGGTATTTTGGTGGAGACTATGGTAAATTTTGTAAGTGTAAACAGTAAAAAGTACTGCCCTTTAAAAGGAACCACTTAAATATTTTTACTTCTATGAAGAAAATAATTATACTATTACTAATAATCCTTAAATGTTACAATGTTTTGCCTTTACCTCAGCCATGAGAATCTTCAGGGCGCTCTTGGCCTCTACTATGGTTGTGATAGAATCCCAGCGCTGCTTTATTCGTCCCTCATTATCCGCATCCAGGACCTTCTGTTGCAGGTCAGCTATCTGAGCACTCCTGAAAGAGTTAAGAGAAATATGTTTTGTTTGTTTGATTAATAGTTAATACTTAAGTGTAGGACTAAATCTGGTAAAATATTGCATTGCTCTTTGTATTGTTGTTAAATGCATTCATGAAAAACAAGTAAATATATTTATATATAAATATATACTATAAATTAAAAGACATTACTTTTAAATGTATAGCACAGTAATGGAGGCAGCAACATATGATAGATAGGACAGAACAAGAAAGGCTATTAATAATCATTAATTGCACAAAACTATTATAAGAAGAAAGGCTCCAATATAGAGTGGCACCATAGACTGTATAAAAACATGGACGTAGTGTCCGTGACGTCACCCGTAGGTTTCTGAAGAGCGTTTTTGAAGCTCAAAGTTGGCGGAGCCGGCCGTCGCCATCTTGGTAGCGTGTCACTCCCGGATAATCGAAAATGGGCAAAGAGGCGGGTGCTGGTTGCTGAAACCAAGGTGGTGACGGCAGCGGCAATCCACCTGCCACGCCCTTCATTATGCAGAACTTTAAGGCTTAATATAATTTAAACAGATGAGTTATAAAAGAAATTCACCCCCCTCACAGTTGTCATGAAGGGCAAAATTACCTATATACCATCGAGTGTTTACTTTCAGCGCTGAGGAGTGTTGAGAAAAAAAACCTTGCAGAGGAGGCTAGCCTCCCTTCTGGTATATCAACCAATCATCATAGAAAGGTAAATTACATGCTACTAGTTTGAACTTCTCCCGCTGCGCTGATAATGTACCAAGTACTTATGATGAGTAGCGATATTCCATTTGAAAGTGGTTAAGCAAATAATAATAATAATACAAATAATAATAATAATCGGCAGGGATCCCCAGACCAATACAATTAGTGTGCCGCCTCTATTTTAAAACCCACGATCCGCCACTGCTGATGCGTAGTGTATATTAAATCTGTCCGATAGTTTATTGAGCCTTTTCTTTTAACGGATTTAAACTTAAAGGGATAGTTCACCCAAAAATGAAAATTTGATGTTTATCTGCTTACCCCCAGGGCATCCAAGATGTAGGTGACTTTGTTTCTTCAGTAGAACACAAATTATGATTTTTAACTCCAACCGTTGCAGTCTGTCAGTCGTATAATGCATGGCAATGGTAACAAAATCTATGAGAGTAAAAAAAAACATGCACAGACAAATCCAAATTAAACACTGCGGCTCGTGACGATACATTGATGTCCTAAGACACGAAACGATCGGTTTGTGCAAGAAACCAAACAGTATTTATATAATTTTTTACCTCTAATACACCACTATGTCCAACTATCTTTGGGCGCGCGCACGGCATCCGGTGCGTGAGGTGTGTACGCACTCTGGCGTAGTTTACGTTAATGGGTGTGTTGATATCCAGCCGAAGAGCAATCAACCATAACTTCAGGCGAGCAGGCTCAGAAGTTGGGAATACGTGGAAAGTCACCACTCCCGAATGAGTTCGCACGAGAGAACGTAATCTTTTAGTTTTAAGTCGGTTTGAACAATCCGGATAAGCGCAAGTAAGTACCATTTTGATTAGCCGTCGTACCTACAATGACTGCACTGTGTAAACAATGAGTGACGTATACGCGCGAGAGAACACTTCCGGCGCTTGCGTAAACTACGCCAGAGCGCGTACACACCTCACGCACCGGATGCCGTGCACACGCCCAAAGACAGTTGGACAGACTGACAGACTGCAACGGTTGGAGTTAAAAATCATAATTTGTGTTCTTCTGAAGAAACAAAGTCACCTACATCTTGGATGCCCTGGGGGTAAGCAGATAAACATCAAATTTTCATTTTTGGGTGAACTATCCCTTTAAGTTACTGCATGTGCGCTCTTGGAGAGAATTTCATTGTTTTGACTGTCGTAACCGAACGCGACACGCAGTTTGAATGTTGAATGGAGGATGACAGACAGCCGCAGCAGAGAGAAGAGTTTACGTGAACTTGGATTTAATGACTTAAATATTCATCTGTACCTCACACTGAACTATGGAACAGCTTCAGAACACTTGAAATATAGTGCACAACAACTTTGTTTTTTTTGCCTTTCATGGGGCTTAATAACACAATAGTATACGCAGAATATCGGATTTGGATCGGACTTGTCTAACCGATACCCGATCCGGCAGAAAATGCCAGTATCAGAGCTGATACCGATACTGAGTATCAGATCGGTGTACACCTAGTTAAAACTGAACAGTTTTGTGATGTAAAAAAATCAATAAATAAAGAAAAATCATATCACATCTTTTCAGTCTTGTCAAAATATCGGTCAACCACCAGTGCGAGGGCACGTGTCTATTTTTGCACAAACTATTATTATTATTATTATTATTTAAGTCCATTTGTGTGCTTTTTTCTGCATTGTGGCTGATTTGTAGACGGAAACACTAATACTTTTTTTTTTTTTTTTTTTTACTGTAAGTATTCATCAGATATGCAGTAGCAGTCATTTGTTTTTATTGTCATGTCACCATCTAAGGCTATCTTCATGGCAAAAACTGAGTTGGGGTAATACAAGAGTTACATAACCAAACAAACAAAATACAGCAGTTAAAATTACACAAGATTTTTTTTAAATTAACATCATAAATAATCTAAAATCTTTTCTAGTAAAATCTTACTAAACAAGTACCTGAGTGGGCGTACTTCATAAAAGAAAATAATTTCATCACATGAATTTTAATTTAACAGCGTACCAATACTGAATTGAGTTCTTTGGCATCTCATCACACTTGAATGGACAAATACACACAAAGTGTATTTGGTGAAACCATTGTGTCAGAACGTTTTGGTGAGTATTCTTTCCATTATTATCATTATTGCATCACGTCTCAAAAGCGAGTCTCGAGACCCTCATGTTCTACGCTGCACTTTTAAAAAAAACATTCCTGAGTGCGTTTTTAGACGCAAAGACGCGTTCTGTGTGAATGGCCCCTTATTGTGCCATCCCAAAGAGGCACAAAATCACTTTCACAGACTTTTTCATTAACTGTTCCCTCCTGGTGGAATGACCTGCCCAACTCAGTCTGAGCAGTCCTTAGCCATCTTCAAGAAACAGCTAAAAACACAACTCTTCATCTATATTTGACCCTCTAACTCTAGCACTCTATTCTATTTTAATTCTACTTTATCTATTTTTATAGATAAAAATAAATAATAAAAAAACACACCTGACCCTCTATCACTTGCACTCTATTCGTTCTCTAACTGCTAGTTTTTCTTAAAAAACATAAACAAAAAACACTAGCTTTCGATTTCTACTTGTTCTTCTTTTTGTGTATGTTTGATATATATTTATATATTAAAAACAATAAAATACCTTGCTATGTGTGCTGTGTGTATTGACACACTATTTTCCTAATTAATGCTGTACAGTTGCTTTGACAATCTGTATTGTTAAAAGCGCTATATAAATAAAGGTGACTTGACTACGTTAGGCTAACCGAGACTTGTCATTTGCACTTGCATATTGTTGCTCTTTTGTTAGTTTTGATTGCTTCTATTGTCCTCATTTGTAAGTCGCTTTGGATAAAAGCGTCCGCTAAATGACTAAATGTAAATGTGATGTAAATGTGATGAGCTACAGCCAATGAGAGAGCATGGCATGGGTTGAGGTCAGCGGAAGAAAAACAGCAGAAGCAACATGGTTTTAAAAAAAGTGTGGACAAGAAAAAGAGCAAAAGTTTTCAGAACAAATCATCGCGCAAACAGCTGGCAGCGCTAATTTCTTCATAACGTCCATTTTCAAATAAACAACTCCAGTTTAATGTGTTGTTTCGTGTCATTCCCGTTTTACTTCCCTCGTGTGTTTTCGTGACAAAACATGGTTTGGAGACTGGATAGAGTCGTTGGGTGACAGTTGTTAGCTCGTGTAGTGTGTGACCTCCTGTAGCGGATCATTTACATAATGTCACATAGTGTGAACACCCCTAACAACTTCAAGACAGACAGCAAGTCATGTATTCTGAACAGCACAGCAATCTGCCGATGTTTAAAGTTGTGTAGTCTGAACTAGGCATGAACCTACAGTAGATCTCGAAGACTAAATTCTAATGGGATTAGTTCAAATGTAATGCATTAAAGGGGTCATATGATGCTGCTAAAAAGAACATTATTTTGTGTATTTGGTGTAATGAAATGTGTTTATGCGGTTTAAGGTTCAAAAAACACATTATTTTCCACATACTGTACATTATTGTTTCTCCTCTATGCTCCGCCTTTCTGAAATCTTAACTTTTATAAAGAATATCTCTTTGGATTTGAGACTTTAGTCTTTGCAACTTTACAGATCTTCTTTATGCACCAAGAGCTTGTAACACTCCAAAGAGAAAGGAAAAATTTAAATCGCATCATATAACCCCTTTAAGCATTTCCCTAAAATTTCCAAACTCATATGCTCCTGGAGAAACATCTGTTAACCTGTTATGTGAAGGTTTGAACATGCAATACATAACTTTATCTTAAAATTAAATAAAACCACTTGTCAAAGAAACAAACACAGTTATGCGTGTTCATAATAACAACTTGCATACAACATTCTTCATTATTTCAAGCAGGAATGTATTTGTAGAAATTAAATGTAGATTAATACAATATTCCCCCAGCTGTTTACATTAATTTAAGACACAACCAATTGTGTTTATGTGAATGATCACCAAAACAGTCATGGTCTGTGTGTATTTATCCATTCAAGCACAATGAGGTACAAAACTCGATTCAGTACTTGTACGCTGTACGTGTTATTTTGCATCACCACACTTTTTCAAATGCATTCATGTGTCTGCTCATCTCTTTCTTCAGATGTTGACATTTTTGTTTGTGAACTAACCCTTTAAATTACACCCCCAGGTCGATCAGTAGCTATGTTAGAATTTAAATGTGCACATCTAACCTTCGTACAATTCAGGACATCAGTTCTGATTGGATTTCTTCACAAATAGTCCCTCCATAACATTTTATATTTGTTGACTAAGTAATACATTTTTTTGTCATAGTTTTTGTCATTCAGACTGTTTTTTATTTAGTTAGTCTTTTCATCTGTGAAAAAAAAAAAGAAAATGATTTTCCAATGAAAATAACACTGTTAAACAATATTAACAAAAAATGATATCTCGATAATTTTCTGGGATTTTATCGCTAACGATAATTAGACGATATTTTGCGGAGTGTGTTATTGTGCTGATATCTTAAGGACTGCCGTGGACAGCTGACTCCTGAATTTTTTGATATTCTTCATATTCGGTGTGGTCAGTTCACAGCAGTGATAGAAATTAATCATTTCCAACAAGTTTTATGGGCATTTTTACCTTTAAGCCATTTTTTCTAAAAGTATGTTCCATCTTTTGAGTCAAATTCTTGCATTTGGGCTGTTACCAAGCACATGAAATCGGTATCAACAAAATGTATCTTACATCTTTAGCTGCATTAGAAGTGGCATTTGATGTATTTACCCACTGTTTAATGCAGCTCTGAGGGACATGGAATACTTTAACCTGCAGTTACAAATGCATAAATAATGTTTTGATATTTAAAAAATAAAACATTGAAAACTGATGTTTGAAATTATTTTAAAAATGAAAAGGTACCTTAAATGTGAAATTAAAACCACCAGTAGGTGGCAGCAAGTCACTGTTAATAAGGGAGTCATTGCAATTGAACCAAATCATTTAAACAGTTGATTCATTCAGGAACGAAACACCATCCTGTTACTCAGAGATGAAAAACAGTGCTGTGGCTGTGTTTGGAATTATTTTTGTTGGAGAAATAGAGCAAAAACAGGAAATGGTGTCTGAAACGTAAGTCTCTTAATATTACCTTCTTGCTTATTGAACCGTTGTATAAAATCAATATCACATTTGTAATCATGCTGACTTTTGGAGAAAAAAAAACGTCACTCTTCAAGTTATATTATAACTAAATGAAATTATATAAATATATACATTTTCTGCCCCATATCTTGAATTATGTGATAATTCTAAATGCATTTTAATAGACTGATTCATGCAGTGAAAGAACGCACTCTAAATGCGCACGCACACTAGTCTAAACAACTAAGTTAGACTTCTTCACGTAATGAATGCGTGCACTCTGTAGGTGTTTTGTTTGCTTTTCGCGATATACTCGATAATATCAAATCGCACATCGTTAAAAACAATTACAATATTATCGCAAACCATACATATCGCACACCCCTATGCTGTTTAGATTTTTAAAATGCATTGTTTTCTTATCGATCTACCAGTTCAAATTTAAAGCTCTGCGTGTTTGCAGGGTAAAACATGGGTCGATTTTTGCATTTGTCTGAAATCTAAACAAAACAACAGTTTTATTGAAAATGCACATTCATTCTCTGCCAGCAGGTGACACTTTCGGCAGACCTATAACTATTTCCCCGGTAACGGCAGAACACAAAGCAGCACAGCTCTGACTTTGAACATGCAGCGCTCATGAAATCATAGCCTTTTGAGGTTTAATCGTCACATTCAGCATATCACAATTCTTGTACAATTTAAGACTTATTAAGACCCCGCGGAAACCCTGGTAACATTTCCGCCACACGCTTGAGGTATTCGACCAATCACATCACACTGAATAGCTGGCCAATCAGAGCACACTGCTCTTTTTAGAACGACGAGCTTCTTGAAAATCAAGGCGTTTCAGAAAGGTGGGGCAAAGAGGAGCAGCAATAATGTACGGTATGTGGAAAATTTGTTTTTTGAGCTTTAAACTGTGTAAACACATTGCATTACACCAAATACACAAAATAATGTTCTTTTTAGCAACGTCATATGACCCCTTTTAAATAAGGTCTTTAAGGTTTTTTCGTTATCACAACTTATTTTTTCATGATCTCGACATAAGTTGTTCTCTAAGTTACACAACTGTGCCAACAAGAGGCAGTATAGAACTAAATATAACTGATGGGGAGTTTTATAATGTATATTCACCTTACTGCACATGTTTGGGACAGAGTAAGAACCTTCTTCATAATTCGTTATAATTTGTGCAGTCCATTACTGACATTAAAGGGGTCATATGACGTTGCTAAAAAGAACATTATTTGGTGTATTTGGTGTAATGCAATGTGTTTATGCGGTTTAAGGTTCAAAAAAATTTATTTTCCACAATGTACATTATTGTTTCTCCTCTATGCCCCGCCTTTCTGAAACGCGTCGATTTTTACAAAGCTCATCGAATCTGAAAAGCAAGGTGTGCTCTGATTGGGGAGACAAATCCAGTAAAACCCATTATAAACGAGGCATTTGCTGCATTCAGTGGGGACATAATTACTGATTATAATGACTTATACTGTGACCCCTTTAAATTAAACTAGTAAATGTTAAATGCTTGAATAAATATGATTTTGCTTGAAAGTGTATCTGTTATCGTTACGTTCTTACTGCTGCACAATGCATCACAGTTTCACTACCGCAATAGTGTTTGGTTTGTTCTACTAAACTTATTGCTTATTAAAACCAATGTTGATGTTCAATGATGAATGTTTAACGCTGTTAAACTGGAAAAATGAATTGCCTGCGTTAACGCACTAATTTTGACAGGACTATAAAATATATATTTCTTATTAAAGTTACAAAAGTGATTTAGTCAAGAGCAGTGAGAAATTTTCTCTTTGTTTTGAATAACATGAATAACAGACACTGCTGTCACTTTTAAGAGCTGCCTGGATCCAATATACTGTTACACATGTTTTCTTTCTCAGCTGTTTGCTTTCATTTAAAACCTAAATTACTGTGTTTGAGGATACATGCAAAGACGGGCATTTTGACAAACAAGTGTGTGTATTTAACAATTAAATCGGCAAAAATAACTCTGTTCAATACTCCTGCACTCTATAAGCACAGTCTTCACGTGCACATGCCTCTCTGACAGCGCTCAGAAACAGTCTCTCAGACAACGCGCGCATATAGCAAAATTAATTATCTTTTGCTGCTGATTGAGTTTCAATGGCTTAAAATCACTTGTTTTTAAACCGCAATGCTTAAAAACAAGTTCAAACAATAAGTTTTCCTGACCACGTAGCACAGCAATGTCATGTGAGTGTGTAACCGTGATAGAGATGATATACTAAAATCTCTACTGGTTGACAAATTTGTACCGGTTAATCATGTCTACCAGTATATTGCCCACCCCTACAACCAACCATGGTACAACAGTGTGCTGTGGCACAGTATTTGAGAACCTCTGTTCCATAAATCTTATGAACTATATTTCAAATCTTCTGAAGCCATTCACTAGCTTATAAGAGGAACAGACAAAAATAGAAGTATCAACCTTTATGCTACTTTTTGTTTGTACTTTCTGGGGCTTGACAACTCCAATTTGTGTTCATGTAGACTCAGTCTAAAAGTGGCGTGATACATTCACTGTGGTTTAGTTGTAGTATGTCTGACCTGAGCCCCATCTCTGTCTCTAGACTCTCCACTTGCTTGCTGATAGAGGCCTCCAGCTCACCCTGGCCTTCCAACTCTGAAATCGTCAGTGTACGACGCTGAGGAGGAAAACACCAAAAATACAATTAAAATGCATTAAATTGCCACTGAAAAGGATTTCAATTTGGTTAAACAAAAGGGTCAGTATAATTAAAAGGAAGAAAAGGCTGTCAAAGAGAATAATAGACTGTTTAAGGAGTATTAACTAATTTACTCAGTGTTATGCAGTTTCAAACTTTTGTTCATCTATTTAAATTCTCATTATTTTTCATACATCCATTGAAAGTCTAAGCAATCAAACCAAATTGACAGAGCACCAGAAGCTTGCAGACCATTTTTAATCATCATACTACACCATAAACAGCGTTACGAAATCCAATGAGAAGCACTCAACACAATCCACAAATGTGTCAGTGCACTAACTGTAACCATCATTAATGATCTACATCTCAACTCAAACTCAGTGCTTCACTGTCAAATGTGCATTTCCAAGAGATAATATTATCATTTATTATTGTCATTTTATTAGTACCCCCTTCTCAAATAAGCATGCTTGACAGACAAAATTTAATGGTTTATCATAGAGCAACCATGTCTTTTCCGAATACTAAGATTAAACTGCTCAATTCACGTGAAGTACTTCAATTTTGTTCTGACGATCTTGTGGGTTTTGTCTTATTGATCTGCCTTACAAACACTGTGACACAATCGCACAAATGCAGTAAGTGGTGTGCTAGTATTTCATATTGAACGTATGTGTGACAATCTTACCCGGACTTTGGCTACAGGTCTCTCTCCTGCCTCCATCTGCTGGCGAAGCTGAGAAATCTCCTCCGCTAGCATCTTCCTGTCCTCCAGCAGGTCCTGTAGATGTCGGCCAGCCTCTTCTGTGCTCACAAGCACTTCTACTTCATTCAGCAACCAATTCTTAATCAAAATGACAATTGCAACATTTATTCTAAGATGCAAATGCATGTGCATTTGTATTTTTGTCTTGTTTATTCCTCATGCCCTCAAAATACAAAGTTCTTTAAAAACTGTGCCATGATTTTTTCCCCCCCCGGTAAACTGCCTGCTAGAAATGTTTTGGTGAACAAGACCAAAAATAAGAGGGTTTGTACCGCGAAATCTAAATCACATGACAACTGCTGTAATTAAATGAGCTGAGCTGACAATAACATCACTTACAAACGAAAAAGGTCAAAAGTCAAACCAATGTCGGCAATTATCAGCAGTTCTCAAGTTTAAACAAGAACCCTGTATCAGAGCTTGCAGCACTTGTATTTGAGTCAAAATCTGCTAAGGGGTAATTAAATGTAAGAACTTGCGTAAAAATTTATCAGCTTTTATTGAAAAATGTAACTTTAAAAATGTACATTTTATCTAACTTTAATAATTGCCTTAATCGTTTAAACAACTGAAGATCAAACTACATTGTATAAAAATCACCTTTCAGGTTCAGTAAAATATATTGCATCAGCATATGAGTCAAATTGGACTATAGGGACACATCAGCATCACTCATTTAACAGTTCATCTACTGCCGAAAAATGCTATTACGAAAAATGCTCAGTCAAGAATAGAAAATTATTCTATTATATCAGGGATGTCTGAATCAGAATGAGTACTTTTTGCAATAAAATAAAGAGTCAAAATGTACAACTTCTTGCTTCCATCAGGAACCAACACATGTTGAAAGACGTTCACTAACACTGTAAATTTTTCCAATTGGACTGGTGTTCTATAGCTTGTCGTTTGAAGTATTTCACTTAGTTCCCTGACATTACTAAATTTCAGTGAGTAATGAACAATTATACTCGCACAAGTTATGTATTACATGGTCTCTGGCAGACAGGACTTTGAAGCCACTTAGGACATTATTTTTGTAGTCAAAACATCCAGTACTGTGGATTTCCAGGAAACTAATGTACTCCTGGACCTCTGCTTTTCATAAATACTACGTTTACTTGTGCACGTTATTTTTTGACAGACATCAATGTGATATTTAAACAATATTTTATAACGGATTTGAAAATGGTTCGTAAGGCAATAATCAATTATTTCTTAGTCGGCAAGTATTAAGTAAAGTGAGTGATGCCCATAAGTGGCGTTATGTAAATATTTTTATTTATAATATTACAACTGTCAGTTTTTGATGGATGTGATAATGTGCGTAAGGGAGCCATGTTTGATTTTTGGGCAATTGTAAAACATGCTGGAGATTGATTATACTTATTTAAAGGAATAATGTAATCATGGCTTAAAGTAGATGTTACTAAGAGAATGACATGTAAGGCTTGTCAAAAATGTTACATTCAGTTGTCACAAATTCATTTAATTTTTAAAATTAAGTTAATGTTTTAACAGTAAAGGACTGTTTTTTTTTTTTTAAACAGATACTGTTGTAAATAAGTGTGGGGGCAAAACTTTTTTTTTTTTTAAATCACAAAACTTGTTCCCTTTGCCAATTTTGACTCAGTCTGTTATGGCAGATAAATGTTGGACAGACAACAAATCTAAATGTTTTAAATGTTACAATTATAGAAAGGATATCCATTTTTAAGATATCAAACAGTGGTTAATAGTGGTTAATAATGTTTATGGAAAAATACATTTAATTAAACATAAAAAATGTAATATTGACCAATAACCAATGTGGTATCAATATACAATGCATCCTTAGCTGATAAACCATTTAAAAAAATAAATAACCAAAATCAGAAAATAAATGACAAATAAACAGGACAACAAACCAAACAGTTTTTTTTCTATACGAGGTACCTTGATTCTACTGCTAACACCCTCTGCTTCACGGTTTTGAACTTCTTTGCGTTTCTCTGCAACTTCACTCCTCTTCTGAAGAGCATCTTTCAGACGCTTGTTAGCAGCAGCAGCCTGTTGATGCACATTTTAGATTATTACACCATACTTTAAAGGGGAACACTGCAGGGGTCGACAAGGACTACTTCAAAAGCACCCTCAAATGAAAGCAAGAGCACCCTCAGTTAAAGCTGTATTAATAGCATATTGGCAAAGCAGATTTGGTAAATAATCCAGTGTGTATTTGTGTTTGCGCTCTAGACAGCAGCAAAAGGTTCCCTTTCATGGGAACTTCGAACTGCGTCCTCTAGGGGTCGCTATGGGGAACTCCTCATCGTGACCCGTGTCTGAAGCATACATTGAAAAAACACCAACAACACCTTGGCCAGCGACAGCTATGACGTCACTACCGGTGCGACTATAGTATAAATAGGCGCCGAGAGAACACATCATCCTCTTCTTTGTCTTCAGTAAAAGACCTAAGGGATGTGATCCAGGGCGTCAGCGCTTTTGTCCGGATCAGAGTGATACCTCAGTATCTACTCATTTCCTTCGGGGGTCTTACATCTGCCCTTAGCTTCCCCTTCCTAATTTCCCTGTAACCACCATCTATCCACCTGACTGAGGTTAGGTGGGAGTTTCCTGCATTACAGTCTCCTGTAAAGGCTTCTTCGGATGGGGCTCCGATGCGGGAACCATGGTGGGCGAGTACGATCCATTTCTAAAAAAAAAAAAAAT